CTAAATAAATCTTTCTACTTGCAGGATCATCAATGACTTCGCGTAACCTAACCACATGTGGATGAATACATTTTTTCAATATAGCGATTTCTCTTCTAATCTTTTGTTCATTTTCTGGTGTTGTTAAGAATTCTTTTTGTTTTAATACATTGTAACCTAATTGTCTCCGTCGAGATTGTTTATCTACTATTTTGATAGCCTATGTTTGTAAGGAGGATTTTCTTTTAGGAGTTATATATATTTATATACATGTGTGTGTATAATATATATATCAAACTTTTTTTTGTTTAAAAACTTTACCACAAGTTCTCCAGTTTCCATATCCTGTGCTAGTTTGACTTTACCATGCATACCTCTACCAATTTCTTTCAAGATCATAAAGTTATTTATTATTTTGTTTCCTGTTTCTGGATCATATTCTTTACTAATTGTATTGGTTGTTAAAATAGTAGGTTGTTGTGGTTGTGGTTGTGGTTGCTGTGGTGGTGTTATTGTTGTTGGCTTGAAAAATGATAAACGTCTAAAAGAATTCTTTTTATTTGGAACTTGTTTTTCTTCCATTCCACGATTATGCATTACAAAGTAAAAAGAGAGAGAGAAAGAAAAAAAAAGAAAAAAAAACAATTTTCTTAAAGCAGAAATATACTGACTTTAAATATAAAAAAAAAGTGTTTATATTTTCAAAAAAAAAAAAAGGTTTTTATTTTTACTTTTTCTTACTTCTCTCTTCTTTATAACTGAACTAAAAAAAAAAATATGAATATCCTTCTTCCCCTTTGGTTATTATGTTTGTCCCTTGTATATGCATCAACACATGTTACAGTAAAGTAAAAAAAAAAAAAAAAATCTATTGTTTATTGTAATGCGTTTTTTAATTCTATTTATTAGATATCAAACGAAACATTTCATGATCGAATTGCATCGTTTGGACCTAGATTATCAGTCAATGGAAAGATTGGTTTCTTGATTGAACCAGCAGAAGATATAACAGGATGTAGTCTAGTGGAAGCACCTACTACAGATTGGATCGCACTTGTTTCTAGAGGAAAATGTTCTTTTATCACAAAAGTAAGATATATGCAACAAAGTGGAGCGATTGCAGTCGTCGTTGGAGATCCAATCAATCCTGGTTGGATTACGATGTATTCTCCTGGTAATAATCCCCTCTCCCCTTTTTTTTTGTATTGTTTATCATACTAAAGTAAAAAAAAAAAACATAGGTGATACATCGGATATCTATATACCAAGCGTATTTATGCCAAAGCAAGAGTTTAATAAATTAAAAGGGTTATCCAATTTATTGAATACACCCATGGTAGCTATTTTACAGCCGGATGATCATGTCAGTTGGTAAAAATAAATATAACCCAAAAAAAGAATTTTGGGCTTTGTTTTATTGTTGTATATAATTACAACACGTATTTACTGATATATTCTTTACTTAGGCCATTCATTGATGTACTTATTATCGTGATCGTTTCTCCTTGTCTTGTATTAGTATTGATTTATGCTTTTTGGAAAATCCGATTAAATATATTAAGAAAAAGAGAATTAGCTCCTGTATCCGTTGTTTCAAAACTATCTGTCAAGATATTTCATCCACCAATAAATGAAGATAAAAACGAACAAGAGGAAGAAGCAGAAGAGGAAGAAGAAGCAGAGAGTTGTACGATTTGTTTAGAAGAATATGAGGCTGGAAGCGAATTAAGATTATTACCTTGTAATCATTATTATCATGCTTTATGTGTAGATTTATGGTTAACTACAAAAAAGAAATCTGTAAGCTTTTTATTTTTTGTTTATGTGGGGCTGAATTTTTAACTCTATTTTGCTTTAGTGCCCAATTTGTAAAACTGATGTAACAAACTCGGAGGTGACACCATTACTTTTGGAGGCTGGTGCTTTCTAAATATATTATTTTTTTCTGTATATTCTTTTGTGTATAATAATAAACTTTTTCTATATATATATATATGTATTTGTCATTATAACAAAGAAAGGGTGATACAGAGAGAAAAAGAGAATAGACGCCATATAGATAGACACGATACATATACGCATGTCCCTTTTTTTTTTTTTTTTTTTTTTTTTTAATTCTTATAATAATTCATTCTTTTTTGTTTCTTTTTTGTTTTTGTTTTCTTCAAATTATATAAACAAAAAAAAAAATAGGGGGGAACGGATGTCAGTTATAACAAATGATTCATGTTTTGAAAACAATCTTCATCAACCTTCCCTCATTTATCCATCATTAATAAATAAACAACAACAACAACAACAACAAAAAACCCAAGAAGACAGTAAACAGACATGTATTCATTTCGTCTCCAGGTTAATTAAATTAAGATCTGAATTAAGATCTCCTTTATATATGAGACAACAGAGTAGTATTAGTGGTGGTCATAGCTTACGACCCAGTATCAGTCGAGTTCAATCTTTACCCAGTTTATATATACCAGATGAACACCCTTATATTCATCATCTTGACGACTGTGATGAAAGTGAAATTCAATCACCTATCGAAATATCGCCTACTCATCGTCGTACATTACACACAGGTCCAAAAGCAATTCGAAATGGTTTAGCTTTACCGCCTAAACAAGATTTTTTTTTAAATGAAAACAGTAATCACAGCATCAATAACAACAATAACAACAACAACAATCATTTAATTACAAAAAGATCGATTTCTTTACATAATATCTTGACCAATGATCATAAAAGTTTGTCTTCTTCTAGACCAATCATAACGAATCGATTCGAATCTCAACTGTATTATAATCATTCGCCTTCTCAGAATAATCTCAACAAGTTGCAGCTGCTGCAGAGACAACAACAACAAATGCAGCAGCATCAGCAGCAACAACAGGAGTATAAGAAAGGGGATGATGATGAAAAGAAGGGAAATTGTTGTTGTACCTGTAAAAAGAATATATTACCCATCACACCTCCTCCAGTACCTACATCGAGTTTAAGTCATGAGACAACAACAAAGAGTTTATTTAATTCAATGAGTAGTGATAGTGAAGACGACGATGATGAAAGTATTGTGTTTCATCCAAAAAAGACTGTCATTAGAAGGAGAGCTGCAACTACTACTGCTTTCTTTGTTACCATCTCTCCTTCTTCCGCCGCTGCTGCTTCCGTTGCAAAAGGGAGACGTTGTAATAAGAGAAGAAGTCAGCAAACTATTTCTTCTTTGACTTAGACTTTTTTTTTTTTTTTAATTTTCTGTAGCATTATATTATCTTTTTTTTTTATATATATAGTTTTAAACTAATTTAATAAAAAACTGTATCAAAAAAAAACACTTTATGTCTTATTTTGCTGTAAAAAAAAATTCTAGGGAAAAAGGAATATATATAGCTGTCATTTAACAAAATCTGTCTTCTTCATGCAAGTATTTTGTTATTTTAACAATCCCTATTTGGGTAATTACAACGTTATCGTGACTGTAAACAAGGTATATACACCTTTTTTTGAACTCTTTTATTATTATTTTTTTTTTTCTAGACTTTCTTTTTAAGACGTAATGGAATTACCTCAAATTGGAAAACATTGTCAACTTGACACTTGTAAAACTTTAGGTAAAAGAAAACTTCTTTTGATTTTTTCTTTTAAAAAAAGTATTTATTCCGTTTTTTTTTTATTTATAGACTTTTTACCTGTGGCATGTCCACTTTGTCAGGGCACTTTTTGGTAAGAAAAATACGTGTTATTATTGTTTTTTAACTCATAAAATTTTATTTTAGTGCAAAGCATAGGTTACCTCTTGACCATACGTGTTCCCAATGGAGTTCAATTGACAGACAATTGATTCAATGTGATGTGTGTCAGCATTTGATCAGGGCGCCAGAAACGGAAAATTCAAGCCCTGAAGCCTCGGTAATAGAAACCAGGGCGATATATATAATTTGTTTGACAGGATATTAATTTTTTTTTTTCCCCTTCAGTTGGAAAAACATAAAGAATCAAAATGTAAATTATATCTATACCCGGCAAACGATACACCTAAAATGAACCGTGCATGTGCTATCAAGGGATGTAAAGATATTGATCCTCGTGTAGGACCAGTACATTGTGATGGATGTGATCAAGACTTTTGTTTACGGTAAAAAAAAAAAAAAGAAACGTGTCAAAAACAAACAAAAAAAAAGAGAGACTTATATTTAAAAGACATCGTCATCCTGCTTCTCACGTTTGTAAATCATTGATTGAAGATGAACAAAGAAAGATGAAGCGAAAAATAGATGCGCAAGAGAAACTAGCAAAGACATTTACTACTACTACTACGACTGAACCCAAAAAAACTAAATTAAAAACAGTACCTGTCAAGACTAAAAACGGTGGTATGGTTGAACTCATGAAAATGAAATCTCAAGCAAAAGGTAGTTCATCTGTTCCTGTCACCAGTCGTATGTATTTGTATGTTCAATGTCCAAAAGCATCCTCCCTAGAATCTCAATCGGTTTATTTCGACAAGGTAAATAAAAAAAAAAAAAAAAAAAAAAAAAAAAAAAAAAAGAATTTTATTCATTAAAAAAATAAAATAGAAAAGCTCGGTTGGAAGAGTACTTGATTCAATTGCTGATATTTGTAAAGTCAATAACAAAAACAATACACTTTCTCCAACAGATCCAGAGGTAAAGTAGTAGTAGAGAAATACATTTTTTTTTTTAAAAAAAAAACATTTATTTATATACAAGAATAATTATAGCGCTTAGAACTCTATAAATGTCCTGAAATGACAATTCTAAACAAATCCAGTATTCTAGAAGATGTTCTTAAAAACTTGGATACCGTCTTGCTTGAAAGACAAGGATCTATGGTCCTTGAAGAAGAATAAACTTTTTTTTTTTTTCTAAAATTTTTTTTTTTTTTTGCATGAATGTCAAAATTTAAACGCACCAATCAGATTTCAGCCCTGTAAAAGTCACGTGATTTTTTTCGATTTTTATGTAATTGTGTCATATATGTACTTTTGGTCATACCTTCCATATGCGGGTATAGCTCAGCTGGGAGAGCGTCAGACTGAAGATCTGAAGGTCAGGTGTTCGATCCACTTTAGCCGCATTCATCTTTTGTAATTTTTAAAGATATTTAGGTGCATCTAGTCGAAGATGTCTTGCTTTTTTTGATACTACAAAACTCTAGCAACAACAATCTTAGTTTGCCATCATTTATCTCTAATGATAGCGAAAGCATTCATTTTTTTTTCGAGAAAGAAAAGAAACAATATAAAAAATATATATCAAATCTAAAAAAAAAGCGTACCTAGCATTTACTTATAATATACCTCCTATGCGATTTCCCTGAAAGGTCATTACGTTTAACTTTTTACAATGGTTAAAAAACAATCTATACGTTTATTTATAAATTCATTGAGCTCTTTTTTTTTAGCTCTCTTTAACTTTCAAATGTATGAGAAAAAATAAATAAATGCGAAGGTTCAGTTTTTATACTTATACATATATACTGCTGACTTAATTTTCACGTGGCGAATCATATTTCTGTTTACCATTACTCCAATAAACACAAACAACGTGGTTGATGTTATACCATATAAAGATAAATACGTTGTCGCTAACCTGAGCGAATATGGCATTATTTCTACGTCAGATTTGAGTACATATTTTTAGCCTTAATCAGTGTAGTGCCGCTGTGAATTTTAAAGTAGCTTTATAAAAAAGTAGAAGAAGAGCAATCTCATTATTTGCCTTCAATAAAATATATTCCCGCTACATAGAGAGCCTGCTATAAGAGTTTTTACATTAGGATATATTTGTCGATCTTGTTATTCACTTTTTAGCCGCTCTTCTTGTTTTTAAAAAAGTGTTGCTTAATATTTAACCAATAGTCAATAATAACTTGACAAATTGTATTTTTAAGTTGATTATTTATTTATACGTTTATAATATTATTCAAACAACACAACTAGAGTAAGTACCTAATGAAATACATTATTAACTAACAGGTAGAACAATCAAGCGTAAAAAAAAAAGGGTTTAGCTTACTTGGCATATGATAAAAAACAGAATTGTGTGACAAGTGCAAATCATCCCTGTCTGAACTTCAAATATAGTAAGTAATAACATCATCATTATCCTCACGTTATATCCTAATTTCATTTTTATTCCTCTTTTTTTTCTCTCTTTCAAACAAAACTACGAAAAAAAAAAATGGATACAATAAACAAGCTATTAAAACCTCATCAAATTACATCGTTAACATTGTATCTAAGCACAGTCTTTATTGCATTTCTATATTCTCAGATAGGCAACCCACCCGAAACATATTTCAGCAGCAAACGTAATATTCTCAACGTATTCTTTGTGAAAATTGGTTGGTTCTGGGTGACAGTTGTTTATTTCAGTTATCTTTATCTTGTAAAGTCCAATAGATTACAAAATACAAACCAGTTCGTTCAAGGAAGTCTTCGATATGTTATGGTAACCGCATACTGGTATCTTATGACTCAATGGTTATTGGGCCCTAGTTTTATTGATCGAGTTTATGTTTTAACCGGTGGTAAGTGTGCAAGTTTGTTACAGGACGCAGAGTCTTCTGCGAAATTGGCCAATGTCTTTCAACAACAGACATGTCGTCAATTAGGAGGTAATTGGGCTGGAGGTCATGATGTCTCGGGTCATTGCGTAATGCTGATTCACGCTAGTCTCTTCTTCTGGGAAGAATTAAGCTGGATGTTTTATAACGCTAGCGCCCTTGTTCAAATGAAGTCTCGTGATAGAGCTCAATATTTCTCGATTGTTGCTGTTGGTGCAATTGCTGCTATTTGGTGGTTTATGCTCTTTATGACCGGTGTTTATTTTCATGGTCATTTCGAAATTTTATCTGGTTCGATTTTTGGTGTATTAGGATGGGCCGTTTTGGTAAGTTATATATATTTAATTTTAAAAAAAGTGTTATGTGTGTGTGTGTGTGTGTGTGTTCAGTAGGTTGCATTTTAACACATGTTTAATAGTATCTCGGTGTATTTCCCAATATCCCAGCTATTGGTGTTCCAGCAAAATATGTCTCTTATTTAAGCTTAGAAAACGAAAAGAAAGCAGAAGAAAAGAAGGAAGCCATGGCCAGACCTTCTAATCCCAATTTATAGATTTTTACGAAGTAAAATGTGTAAACGTTCCAAAATAAATTTCGATTTTCACATATGTATTATTGTATTTATCAAGTTGAAATGGGGTTTAATTAGTTTAGGGGAATGTGTATTGAATTATATTTTAGAAGGAGGGTAGAATAAACAAACCAGAATTAAAAGTGCTTCGCTAATGTAGAGCTGTCTGATTTGATTGGGCCTCAAACACATGACGGCGAGATAATTCATGTCAGTCATTTAAATATATCTTCATTACAATGTGATAATTGCTGGTAGAAAATGCAAAATAAAGAGATCTAATTAGGTTATTATCACAAGTGTTTATTTATTTATTTATTACTACATCAGATAAACTATTGTCTTTGTAAAAAGTACAAATAAGCTTCCCCAATTGGTGGGTTTGGTGCAACTGCAACCTTATTATCATTAAACAAAACCCATTCACCATTTTTATACACATGTGATACGTAATGACCACAATGAACAGAAGTTCCCTTGTGAGATACAAATGAGTTCAATTTATAATCGAATGGACCAGTAGCATTCCCTACAAGTTTCTCTTCGACAGCATCATTTGATTGTTCAAAGTTTTCACCACTGTCTTCAGGGTGACTGAATAACCAGTCCAATGCTCTTTCTGTGTCGTTGTTCTTTTAAATCATGAGTTAATACAAGTGAGAAATATAGGAGACAATAAACTTACAGTTTCACGTAATGCTTTCTTTGCTTGAGCTGCAGAGAATCCCATGTCCTGCAAAGTAGAGATTTGAGCTTCAGAAGGTTCATTACTTGCAGCAGCATTGTTGGATGTAGCGGGCAATGGATCATCGATATCTTGAGACAAAGGTTAGATAGATGATCATTCAATAAACTTATTATTTTACGTACCAGGATCTTCCATATGTTCAAACATCCAACTCATAGCAACTTCAGCACCATTATGACCTGTATTCAATAAAGCTCTCTTACAACGGTTTTCAGAGAAACCCATTGCTAAAAGTTGATCAATATCATTTTGGTTAAATGAAGGTTCGGAGGATGATGCATTATCAGAAGCATTGTGGTCGTCCTCTGGTAATAATTCTTCACCGGGTTGTTGTCCTTGACTCTTGTATTTATCAAGTTGAATTGGTCCTTCAGGGAATTTAATGGTAATATCTATAAGAACAAAGTCTGTTTAGCAACAAGCTCAGTTCTTTTTTTTTCCGGCTGCACTTACTTAATTTTTGAGGTACCCAATCGACAAAGGCAAAACGACGAGGATTCATAACCAAAATATCGGGGAAAGTACTAAACTTGACAGTTCTAAAAATAAAGAAAGTGTTATGAAACTTTTTTTTTTTTTTTCACAGTACACAATAATCACGCTCATTTACCTAGTAGCTGCTGTCTTTTCTTTACAGTTAGAACAATTGTATCCTTCCAAAATTTCATCTTTGACGAAGGCATCGAGGCATTCTGTGAAATCAACGGGCTCATAAGCATTTTCTTCGCCTGACTGAATTTTACGAGCAGGTACACTAACAGAGATACAGCTAGTTTGATCCTTTTGATATCTAACCTTTTTACATTTACCACATTGTAAACGTTGTTCGGTCATGAAATCAAAAGCTTGGGTAGGATCTTTCTTTGAAGCATGTTCCTTTTGTTGCACAGTCTTACACAGAAATTGGAAAAATTCAAACGCATCTTGTTGACGCATCGTAGAGAATTCTTCATGGCCTTTACCCACAAGTGCCTTGAACATAGCAGGAGCAATACCGTCTTGATATTGAACACCTTCATCATTAGTAAGTGGCTGAGAGTATCTACCAGATAAAAGACCATCAGCCATTTTATGAAGTTGACAGTGCCAGCAGTTAGCAGGGTCCAAGGTACATGTCATATAATGATCGTTTAATTGTTTATAATATCTGTCTTGGAAAGATTCAATGTTGAATACAGATTGAAGAACAGAGGCCATATAACAACTGTTACCCAAGTTCTTAAGACCAGTGTATCCAGCGCCAAATTTAGGCTCCAATTGTTTACCATCTTCTGTAGTCATACTGAAATCAAACTTCATATTCTGCTCCAATTGCTATACAACAAAATATAATATAAAATCGTCTGAAAATTCTCTAGATCTCAAAAATAAAATAGCTACTTACTAATTCAGTCATACTCTTTTCCGTCTTTGTTTGCTGAGCAACGTTGATACCCCAATTAGCAAGATGGGTAGACAGATCATTATCAAGTCTAGCATCATCACAACTATAACAATAGATATCTTTACAACAAAACTTATTAACCTATTTATCTTGTCTACTTGTATACATATATTTACCAGCAGTTCCTTCAGCAGTGATAGTGCCTAATTTCACATTAACACCATGTCCCGTCTTTTGAAAATGATCAATTGCGTGATTATTTCCTCCAGATCCATCATAATGTTTACGTCCACATCCTAAGTTACCACAAGCTAAACACAACCACAAATTCTCCTTCAATTCGCAATCTGCACAATGTGCTAAATCTTGTTGTTCCAATTTCTTGGGTGGGTCTTGTACAAGACAAAGTGTATGTTCACAAGGCTCAATTACTTCTTCCCAAGCCTTGACTTCAGATTTCTTAGCAGATGAAAGTGAAGATAAAATAGCATCTACAATAGCATTCAACTAGTAATAGAATTCTATCAGTCCTCTTTCCTTATTACGTCTCACTACTTTTCTTTGTTATTTACCTTGGGTGTACTTTCCTTGGCTTCTTCAGCGCCTTGACAGGCATAACAACGAACCTTGGTAATATATTCATATTGTGGTTCTTCATTCTCCATAACAATGGCAATCTTACTGATCTTTTGGGGAGGAGGAGTTCCATCGTCACTGGTCTAAATGGAGTGATTAATAAGCTAAGGCATTCTACGTAGTAATAATAATAAAAAAGAACACGTACTCTTTTTGGTTGACTGACAATA